AAAATTGTAATGAAGAAATTTTTATTAACTCTCAGAAAGATATTACGTATTGCTCGACTGTCGGTATCTCGGTGTCAGATCTTTTTAGGAACATTTCAAATGTGAGGAAATACAAAATTAACTCACATGTTCAGACACTTACGTCACTCACCTGATTAACTGTTGCTCTTATTAGTTCATTCCAAACATGGACATCTTGATCCTGACCTTGATGGTGTTAGCAGTAACCGTGATGTCACTTCCTGTCCCGTGCAGAAGAGTGGAGCTCTCAGGTGTTGTTTTCGGACTCATGCATCGTGAACGAGCTGCCCGTGGTCTCTGCAGCACGCCTTGATGGCAGTTTGACTGCCGCCAGCCCTCCCAGCCCCGACGGTGAACTGGTGAGGCCTGTTTTTTTTTTTTTTAGCACTTCCTGCTGACAGTCAGGACTCAAGGTTTGACCTGGAGGACTGACTCTTCTTCTACTGTTGCAGCTGTACCCAGAGCTCCAGCTGACCGAGGAGGAACAGAAGCTGCTGTCACAGGAAGGAGTTTCTCTGCCCAACAACCTTCCCCTCACCAAGGTCAGACACTGAAACACTCAGAGAGAAACTCAGAAGCTGTTTAAATCTCGAAAAGTCAACGTTTAGGAGGTTTTCACTGCGGAATGAGTCACACGACAGCAACAGCTGATCTGTTCAGCACACATAAAATATTTTTGTGCCAGATTTAATTTTGATAAGACTGTAAGAGACGCTGACTGTGACTCTAGTTAGAGCTACTGTGCAGCTGATGGATCAGCTGATTGATGGAAGGGAGTCAGCTGATAGATCACATGATTCCTTTATATGCAACCAATTGTTGAATGTCATTCATGGCGCCCTATTCAAACTGCTCTGGCCTGCCTACTGTTGCTGCTTCCTCTGCAAGCCATTTTGCAACCTGCCTCCACCCCAGCTCCTCCTTTTCATACTGTGTCTGACTTATCAGTGTCATTTCTGTTTGTCATTGATGCTGCTCTGTTCTGTTCCCAGGGGTCTTTGCTGCTGCTCTCTCTGCCTTAGGCTTTTTCTGTAGGCGCATGGAAGGGCAGGGAGGTGTGCTCTCTCTGCCATAGGCTCCCTGCACACACTGAGTCTGTTTTTTTCATCTGAAATTGTTGCACGTCTATAAATAAATACGACCTCACATTGTGTCAGTCACGTTTGCACACTGAGTCTGAAATTTTCGTCTGTCATTTCAGTTTTAAGAATAGGTTAAATTTTCGGTGTTTTTCGCATCCGTCAGAGCCTTTGGAGACGTTGACCAAGAATCAGTGAAGAAAATGTAGTGATGGGACACAGCTGTGGCGACAGCGGCTCAACAGGTCAGATAGTAATATTCAGGTGGAGGATGATGATGAAGAGGAGGAGGAAAGCTCCGCCCCTTCATGCAGCTGTGGTGCCAAATGAAAGACAGGGAGGGAGTGATGTCAGTCAGAGAGGTGACTTCAGTGGAGAGAGACAAAGGAGGAACCACAATGAATAGAACAATAAAATGCCTCAGAATCAGTGCGTGAGGTTTCTCTGTGTAACGATTTTTTTCAGATTATGGATTAAAAAAATGCTGCAAGAAATGGACTCAGTGTGCAAAGGCCTTTAGGCTTTCCATGTAGGCACTTGGAAGAGGCTGTCTGGGTAGGTGCGAAGAAAGGCAGAGTGGGCCCAGAACAGGTCCATACCACCAAATATGATACTGCAAATGGAAATAAAATCTTCTTTGACCAAATATAGGTATCGTCATTATCCCCACAGTGAATGTAGCCAGGGGTTGGAGGGTCAGTTCTGCCTGTTTTTTTGAAAACAAATATTTTTTATTCAATCAGGAACTTGCAGTGATGATGGGATAACCAAGGAGCCTTGTGTTTATTTTGAACGAACCTTTATTTGCAGGCCGAGGAGAGAATCCTGAAGAGAGTTCGGAGAAAAATCCGCAACAAGCAGTCGGCTCAGGACAGCCGGCGGAGGAGGAAGGAGTACATCGATGGGCTGGAGAGCAGGTAGGATGAAATCTCACGTCAGAGCTGAGACGGTCGGCGGATTAATCAGAAATGTATTTGTTAATCAGCTTCTCAGATTGTTTTAATCTTTACTGAAAGTAGATTAAATATCTGCAGATGTTCTGCTGCTGGTGAGACAAAACAAGTCGGTTCAATACAAGTTAAGATAATCTGTGTGTGTGTGTGTGTGCGTGTGTGTGTGTTTTAACAGGGCAGCAGCTTGCTCAGCACAGAACAAGGAGCTGCAGAGGACGGTGGAGCAGCTGGAGAAACGAAACATGTACGACCACCTTTATTATTGATTATTGATTGTTTACTGATCGATGAGAGAATTCATTGAAGGATCAGTTTAAGAAGCCCCTCTGAAATCTCTGTGAAGACAAAAGTCAGACCAAAAATTGTGCCTCTGTGAAAACTGTCCAACAGGTTTGATATGAAGTCAAACACTGGGGTGGTGTACCGAATTTCACCACCAGGTGTTGCACTTGACTCAGCAGCCTGTTGACAGTGGAACATGATGACAAATACTGGTTCGGCCTTTTGAAATAAATTCGAACAGGTGAAAGTTCAAACATCAGACCGGTCCGGGGAAACAGGAAATGGATCCAACTCTTGAGTCTGTGTCTCAGACAGTCTGATCAATCAAGTGCTCCAGCGGCAGAGGACACTGTTGTCTTCTTCTTCTTCTTCCTTCTGTTGTCTTCAGACATCATGTTAAACCTCGCGCTCTCAGTCTACAGTGATGATAATGAAGTAGAATCCGTCTAACAGCCTGACATCTCTGCAGCTGTCGACAGTCTGGTTGTTCTCGTTGTTTTGGCTTTTTAAACTTTACACAATTACACATTCAGTGGAGCCTGATGAACCTCCTCACTCAGTCCTTTACATTTCTCTTCATGTCACATTTGAGTTTCGGGGTATTTATGTGATTATTTGAGATGTAAAAAATAAACCTGAAAAACCTGAAGTCAGTTTCATGTTGGCTTTGACAAGTCTGAGCTCAGATTACTGTTAACAGAAATGAGGTAATAAAAGTTAACACATGTTGCTTGTGTTTGTGGCGTTCAGGTCTCTGCTGGCGCAGCTGCAACAACTTCAGTCTCTGATCAAACAGACGGTCAGTAAAGGAGCCCAGACCAGCACCTGCTTACTGGTAGGTGTGTGTGTGTGTGTGTGTTCTCTCGTGTGACATCACCACTGGTTCCAGCTCTCATTTTTTGGATAGAGTAGTAAAATCAGGAATTATTACGCAGCATCACCGTTGCCTGTCTGTATGTAACAAAAACTACCAAAGAAAAAATTGAACAATTTTAATAGTTGATTTATAGTCATAGAATAAGTATACAATACTGTTATAGATGCTGCTGATTGCTGCTAGAGGTTTTAAGAATTAAACTGTTTATTATATATTTTTATTTCTTATAAAATTGGAGCCACCTGATTCTGAATACACGACCGCCGTGTGCGTCAGTGTTCATTAACTGTGTGTTTGTGTCCTCAGATCATCCTGGTCTCTCTGGGTCTCATCATCATGCCAAGTTTCAGTCCGTTCAGCCGCAGCTCGTCTGCTGACGACGACTACAGACCCACAGGAGGTCAGTCGCTCTCCACGTCACTTCCTGTTGATTATATCAAAGCTCCAGTATGTAGCATTTACAGGGATGTATTGGCAGAAGTGTGTTTGAAAATAAAAAACTCCTCATACTAAACGTTTATTTGTAACAAAGACTTTCTACAACCTGAACGTATCAAAGTCCTCTCACACGAGATGTCAAACTTTGTGGCAGCAGATTAGTCGAAATGATCTATTCTTTGATCTCTCCAGTTATTTCCAGGAACATCCTCACAGACCCCGCCTCCTCCCAGCCGACAGCAGAGGATGCAGACGCTCCAGCTGCCGAGTCCGACTCCGCGTCACTGCCCTCTGAACTCAGCCAATCAGGACCTCCCGATGGCGCCCCCATCCTCCAAGAACCAATAGAAAACCCTGAAAATCCAGGCATCGATGGGACGGCTCAGCAGGCGAGCCAATCGGGGAACAGCTCAGCTCTTGTTGCCGGGCAGACTGAGCCACTGGCGCTCGGTCTGAGGTCGACGGCGGGGAAAGGACGCCATGATCCCGCCAAACCTGCACACGCTGATGAGATGTAGACAGACTTAAAGGATTGGTTTGATATTTTGGGAAATATGCTTACTTGCTTTTTCGTTGAGAGTTAGATAAGAAATTCAAAACCCTCTGTGCGATAAATATGAAGCTAGTGGTTAGCTTAGCTTAGCTTAGCTTAGCACAAAGACTGTAAACGGGGAAACAGCTAGCCTGGCTCTGTCCAAAGATAACAAAACCCACCTACAAACACTGCTAACAGCGGTTCAGACTACACGACAGTCACTACGTCACATTAGGCGATTGTGGAGTCATAAAATCTTGCCGTGACTTTGCTGACAGACATGACACACTACACATTGGTGCACGACCAATTATCCCTGGTCGTCTTTGAGGATGTGCATGATGACATTGGATTATTCTTGTCCTATTTTTAGTATTATTTCACTCACTATGGCTGTTCATGTCCCAGACAAAATGTTACTGTAGTGAAAGAGCCACCAGGTGGGAGGAGCTACATTTGAAGTGCTGCATGCAAAGAAAATCAAATCTGACAGACTTTCTGCTGGGACGTTGTGATGCATCCCAGAGACGGCGTCCATTGCTGCTGCTATGACACACCACAAATTATCGCGTATAACATTCATTAGCATTCACGATCCGAGCCAACACCGTACAACGCTGCGAATTTGGCTAATACCGTGTAGTATGAGCTCGTTGTAAAGCTCAGTGGTTCATATGTTAAAAACCTAAAGTATGACATTGCCAAGTTGTGGTTTTACAGCGGGTTTTGAGCCGGCTAACAGTTTCCCCCTGTTTCCATTCTTTGTGCTAAGCTACGCTAACTGTCTGCTGGCTGTAGCTTCATATTTACTTCGCTTACCATACAGTCACGTGAGTAGCAAACATCCTCTCATGTAACTCTTGGAAGGAGAGGAAAGAGGCGTATTTCCTAAAATGTTAAACTGAACCTTTAAACATTTTCAAGCTGAACATCAGCCTGGCTTTTATTCTTGCGGCCGCTCTGACTATGTGTCCTGCTAACTTTGCACTCAGCACCTTCATCCTAGAGATTCGAGAGAGACAGACTCAAGTAACAAAAGTGAAAAGTGGAGAAGCAGCACAAACTTTTTTTGCCAGCTAACCAAACCATCTCACAGCTTTTGTCTTAACAGTCACGTTACATTACGGACGACAGTCACAGAGTTTCTGCCTTTAAGTGGAATCCAGACTGGAGTCTACCTCTGCATGGACTCCAGATGCGCTGTTCAGAGCAGGAGGCGTCTTTGAGTCACCGGCAAGGAGGTTAAAAAGAGGAGATGGCATCTTATCATCGGGGTACGACACACGCGGGATCTGTGGATTCACACGTGAGAACAGTTTGTTTTTGGACGGTTGTGATGGAACTCCAGGATCCTGTTCAGCTCACAGCTCACCTGAGATGGATCCAGTGTTAAGTCATCCAAGTAATGAAATGCCAGTGGTACTTTGAAACGTAAAGATCCAGTGTGTCCAATATTTTCTTCAGTGTATAATCAAAAGTAAGAATTGTTGTGTTTTTATTACCTTAGAATGAGACGTTTACAGAGCAGGTCCTCGTCCACAGTCTGCCATGTTTCTACAGTAGCCCAGAACAGACGCATCAAACACTGGCTCTAGTTGGGGCCATTCAGGTTTTCACGTCAGCAACCGTAGTTCTCCGACACGCTTGGCACACCGAAGAAGTTTCAGCTCTGCAACCTCACCACTAGATGCCACTAAATCCTCCACACTGGACCTTTAATTGATGAAATAGAAAGATCATTAGTAATGAAATTCATTATTAGTTTCAGCCTTGATCGCTCATGAAATCCTAAACACTGTCTGTGTTTGATTTGAGCTGTTCCTGTTGGTTCGCTCACAAGTCGTTCGTACAGATGAATGTTGATATAACAGGGCCGGTGGCAGGTTTGAATTATATCCATGATAATAACTTAGTTTTTGCTTTTAAAGGGGTTTTTTTTTTCAGACAGATTCTGGATGTTTTTAAGGGCCTGTTGACTCTGGTGTAACATTGAATCCAGGGTTGTGCCATAACCCCAAACTTCCTTCTGTTCTTCAGCCTTTGTGGCCTTTTAACCCGCTGAAATGACGCATATCGCCACCTAGTGTTGAGGAGGAGGACACGTTCCCGTCAGTAATTCGATTTTCTCAGTTGCATGTAAACTGGGACAAGGACAGAAGTCCGATTAGACGCCAAAATCGAACTTTGAGCATAGCTCGATTAAGCTGTGCATGTAAACGTACTGACTGTAACGTAGCTTTATTTTACCCAGAGAAGGTTGGCTGAGCTTGTTTTCACATTAATATACAGCAGTTTATTCAGTTAGGGGTTACGTGCCTTGTTCCAGGGTGCTGATGCCCCTTATCCACCAACACAGATGGTTTCTGTTCCAGTTTCCACGTCTAATTTTGAACTGTTCAGAGCATTTCAGCCAGAAATAAAATATTTAGAGCCAAAATGTTCGTTCTCAGGTAGAACCAAAAAATAGCAGATTTTCCTTGACCTGACGTGTGAACCGTGACACATTCTCACTCCGACCTCGTCACATATCGACAATTGCTCACCCACTTTCTGCCTTGAGATAGGACGTCCAAGGTACTCTGGGTGTGTTAGTTGTTGATGTTCTGGGACGCTGTGTCAACCTCAGCCTGTTACATTTGTAGTGGTTTATAATGCATATCATACATTTATTTATATAAGCGCAACTTACAGTCCTTTGGGAAGTGAACTCTGGCATCCCAGGGGAAAGTCGGTGGTTATTGGATCCATCCACCCTACGCGGACTTTCACCTGCCTAACTTAAGTTGCTGTCCTGCTGCATTTCCCCCTGATAACAGCGACCAGCTGCGTGTCATGCCAATGTAAAAGGACAGCTTATTTTTGTCTGATGCCAGAAGTCACTGACCAAGTGTCTGTATTCGATGACTTCAGTGTGAGACCGGGTTGACCGTGATGACACCAGCGGGCGTGTCATATTTACAGGTTGGAAAGAGATAGAATCGTGCACGTAACAGTCCTCTACGTCTTCTAACAGTTGGTCCGTGCTTACTTTTGGATATGAACAAACACCTGCAGCTGATAACAGCTCGCAGGTAATCGATGTGATACGCCATCTTGCTACAACTGTTTCCTTCTGTTGTTCTGTTGTGCAGCGCCCTCCATTAATGATGCGTCCTTGATTCCTCGGCTCACCCTGAGGCATAGGCTGGTCGTCAAGGTAGCAACAAGGTCCCAAGAATCCCGAACAGCAGCGGTTAAAGAAGCAGAGCTGGTGGAAGAGGGGTGTGAGTGTAGCTCCTAAAACACTCAGAGCAGTTTTGGCATTTTGTAAATAATGTTGGATATATTGAACAACAGTTTTCTTTGTATGAGGGATGTTTGAGTCTAATTATAACTGTTTTTTTAACAGATGAATTATTGGTTGCTTCTTTTGGGAAACAAGTGGGTGGGATTAATTTATTTAGGGGCTGCTTTAAAAACAGCCTGGACCCAAGATAAGATCAGATAAAACCATAACTTTATTATCTTATTAATACCACTGCAGTGGAGTGACACCTCTCTGTCTCACAGCTTTCTTATGTTTGTCATTCATCTGCTAACACACTTTATTTGTTGTTATTTCTTTATTAATAAAAGGGAAACAATCAGTGGAGTCTGATTTTTTTTTTTTTTTAAATTATCATCCACTCATGAGACTTGCAGCTCTGCAACACTGTTTACCAGTTCACTTGATGTTTGCTCAACCATTATGATTTTTAGCTTCAGGATGCTGCAACCGGTTCTCGTCCCAACTCGTCACATACTGCTGCTTTTTCAGTGCCGTTCACGTCTACATATTACATGCTAGGTATCTTCCTGTGTTTCTTGTTGACGTTACTGGATGGCGTGTCAGTTGACGCTGTGCAACAAGCACGTGGTGAGGTTTCCAAAAAAACTTCATGGTTTGGTTCTACATTCATACTGGAAGTGAACACCGGGCTCATGGGTGAAAGTTCAGAGTTTGTTGGACCCTTCCACCTCCACACACACTCTACAGGGACTTACCAGCTCCTTATATTACGTCGTTACCGGCAGTGTTTCAAACTGAGGCTGTCCAGCAGCGTATATAACTGCCATGACAAGTGCTATGTCACGGCCGGTGGATTCAAACCAAGAATCCTCTTGCTGTGAGGCGACAGTGCGAACCACTTTTAAGCATCTGGAAAATGATGCACACTTTGTTCCTGAATCCTCCGACTGATTATACTTTCTTTTTCTCTGTATGTTTTTACCCTTGTTTATCTTTATTTTTCTATGTAATCATACTCAAATATTGTCATTCTGTTCATATTTACTATATACTAGTTCATACCCATTGGTAGCTTTGTCACCTTCTACCTATGCCAGTCCTCAATGCCTATGTGCAGTTTCACATAGATTGACCACGTCAGTGAGTAGAAAAACGTGGGACAGACAGAATGACTGACTGACAGAATGACACACTGACAGTTTCCGTGATTATGTACAGCATACCATACCATGACTTAGTCATACCAAACATTAGAAACAACACCAACATTGGTCCACAGGGGGAGCCACAGCGATCGGTCGCATTTTAGCCATTTTGAAGCATTTTTCTGTTGTTATAGCGCCACCCAGTTGCCAATTAGAGTTAAATTTCTCCAGTCACCTTGAGGCGTCCTGTTCTACATATCTACCAAGTTTAGTAAAAATCCATATGGCGGTTAGGCCTAGATAAGAAATGAGCTCTCTAGCGCCCCCATTTTGTTTGATGGGGTCAATAATGGAGGGGTCCCCTCAGATTATGTGTGGTCATATGCCTACAAAGTTGCGTGGTGATGGGTGAAACCCTTGAGATGTTATACACCTTTATGTGATGAGCCACGCCCTCCGCAATATTCATTGCCTTATAGAAGCTCAGTTTTAGTAAGTTTTCCAACTTTTGCCAAGAGGGAACTTTAGATATTGGTCCCTAGATTATGTTCACCCAGTTTCATGCAGATCGCTCAAACTTCCTAGGAAGAGATCCATTTGAAGTGTTTTTCAAAAAATTCAAAATGGCGGAAAATCTATATAAGCGGAAGTTATGGGTTCTTGAGGCAAATGTGTTCCTCATGAGGAGAGGCATCTCTGTGCAAAGTTTCATGTCTCTACGACATACGGGGCATGAGATATGCCCATTCAAAGTTTGACATTTCAATGGGTTGCTATAGCGCCCCCCTTTGGCCAATTGATGTAATATTGCTTCATTGGCATCCTCCCATGACCCTCTACCACTGTGCCAAATTTCACATGGATTGACCAAGTCAGTGAGGAGAAAAACGTGGAACACACACACACAAGCAGAGTTTTCCTCATTGTATACTAAGATGCCATTGACGTTTGGGTTTGGTTTGGCCAAATATTTTCCTGCCTCTCTTCTTCCATAGTTTTAGTGCCATTCTCCACCTGTCCACCAGGTGTCCTCAGACTTTCCTCCTTCTGCGCACCTGTGTCTCGTCTCTCAATCAGTCATCAGTATTTAAACAGACCCATTTGCACATGCTCAGGACAGACCATCCATGTTGCTCATGTCTTTGTTTCCCAGCCACCTGAAGCTGAAGCCTTCACCCTGAAACCTGAACCAGTACCGTCCGCTCTGTCCTCCTCCTCCTCCTCCTGTCGTCTCACACTCACCTGCCTGATGACAGCAGGTAAGATGAAATAGACCTCCCCCTTTTTATTTAATATAATTCTGACCTTAACTACTGAATTTGAATTTCAGTATTGTTTTGTGTTCTTGGAGCACGATTAGCAGCTGTTTGGCTCATGATCATAGGAGAACCTATTTTGGTGCTACATGGCGACCATCTTTAAAGCCACAGTGTGTAGGAATTTCTCCCATCTAACGCTGAAATCATTTATTGCATTCAAACAGATGGTGCACTCTAGCGCCTCACTGTTTCAAACACGTATTGCAACAACTGTAGCCGCTGTGTACCAAAAAGCTATGATAACACTGATGAAACCATGTCATCCGATACTTCATGGAATATTCATTCAGGCTCCTACACAGACACACGCAACGCGAGTTGACAAACCCCCTCCTCGCCATGCTGGCTGTGTTTACAACGTACGACTGTTGGGGCGGATGTAAATTGAAACAAACCAATCACGTCTTGTCCTTTGACAACTGACAAGTGGCTCAACCTCACACACCTCATCCCTCTCCTCGCATTACTGCGCCGCTAACAGCTGTTAGTGGCCAGCGGCACTACTGCCGCATAACAAAGTCCCACTCTTTGAGCATAATGCAGGATCATGTATT